TATTTCACATCTGCTTGTTCATGCCACATGTATACATCACTACGTCAAGAGATCACATCAATACCATAGCGAAGAAGGAAAACAGTTTCCTCCCGTTCCTGGGTATGACGATAAACTACATCTGGCAGCAAAGCCTCTGATCGGGAGATTGGCGATTTTGAGTAGCGTGGAACCATCTCTTAATTACTATTGTTCCTAGGTCAACCTTGGTCCTTGGGTTGGTAGCAACTGTTAGGGTCCCAGCTATGGACAAATAGTTTACCCCAAAACTGGGGGTCAAACATGAAAGTATAAAAATATATTTTTATAGTGAAAATATCAGAAATGCATTTTCATAGTAAAAAAAATAGCATCAATATATTGTTAAAAAAAAAATAGCACCAATATATTTTGATAAAAATATTACCACCAATTTTGAAAAAAAATTACTAGCAATATATTTTTGGTAAGAAAATTACTAATGCCCCAAAGAAAATTAAATTAGCAGTTGATATGCCGTTAAACAGTTTCCTCTCGTAACTCTTACTTAAGGTTTGGAAAATCAAATGAGTTGAAATTTCCGTACAGGTGATTTGTTGGGATGGGGTAAAGCGTTTAAAATTTGTAAAATCTTTCTTGCTTTTCAGAAACAAAGTTGCTGAAATGTCTTTGCATCCGTTTTAGTCGATGAGTGACTTGAGAAATCTGCGATTATCCGTTATTGAGAGTTATATTATTTGGGCCTGATGGTTCAACGTTCCATCTGAAATCTTTTATTAATCCCTTTCGTGTAAACACTATCGTGAAAAGCGTTTCTTTTTCTATAAATTTCCAAAGAAAGGCACATGCACGAGCAGAATCTATATGACGGAATACGGATTGATTAATTGATTGATTTTTTGAATGTTTATCAACCCTTTTGTGGGTTATTTAAAGCCAGCCAAGACATATTTTGGGATTGTAAGAATAATACTTTTTTTGTTAGTGAATATTGTATTAAACTATTTTTTAAAAGAAAAAAAATGATTTTTTCAGTTTATTTTGCTAGGGGAGGGAAGAGAGGGATTCATACATTTTCCAAGGGTATTTGTCTATATATAAGTGAATGTAACGAATTCCACTGGAAATCGAACTCGGTTCTCCGATTTCCCATTCCCAGCCGCTATTCATTACATCACCTGCACATCCGGACTGAATCGGAAAGCGGATGATGTAAAAAGAAGAAGCAATGAATTAACAACAGAAACCCAAGTCAACGGCTTCAGCAATACTTAACAGAAAACATGGACATACATACATTAATACATAATGATGCCACCTTGACGAGTATAAGCATAAAAAAAAACATCATTGTAAATCCTAGCTGTGCTTTGAACTAGTATGGCACTTTAAAGTGAACAAACTTTTAAAACCTACGACATAAAGTTGGCAAACATTAAAGCTTTTGTTGTCATTAGGTCTAATTTTTATTACTGTTTGTATATCTTCTCAGATAATTTTCAGTAATATATACACAATGATTGTCACTTCGTTACAGAAGACAATCTCTTCAACTTGTTAGCTTTTTGTGTTTTTCATTCAGAATGATATTATTTCCATCATTTATACCCGAGTTAACTCTCTGCTATGGGTCCGTAAGTGATTCTTAAGGCCAGCTTCACTTTTACAACTTCTTTTACACAAGTAGCGGACATAAAGCTTGTCTGTATTACCTATGTGGGAAACTTGCCTGACCCTGTGTACAATCATGTGATGTTTGAGTTCCGCAACAGACTTACAAGCTTTGTCACAAAACTCGCAAATGTAACCTGCAGGTCTTTCTGGTAGGGTTGCATTCACAGAAGTTTGCACCCGACATATCTCGTATGATCCCCCGTGACTGGCTAAACAAGCCGCCGAAAGGGTGACTTTTCCACAAACACCGCAAGTGTGTTGGTGTCCTTGTAGCCCCGGGACAGATTCTATTTCTTTCTTCCTAATGGTGCGCTTTTTGTTGGAATGCTCAATTCTTTTCTGCTTAAAATTGTTGCATACATACATACATACATACATACATACATACATACATACATACATACAAAACATTTTCATATGTGGGTAGATTAGTAAGTTCGTAATAGTCAATAGATGAAATTTTAGCTGAAACTTTAGCTGAAATATCACTGTATAATGTCTGTGCAATTAATATTTGCCATTGAATTAAGTGCATTGACAAGGAAGCTGATTATGTTGAAAAATAAATATTTGTTATGTAAAATACACTAAGTTAAGGCTTTGAAATTACACACGTATATAGAGAGATTTTTTTTACAAAAAATAACAAGTAAAAGTGATTGTCTCATTATCCGAATACTAATCATCTAAAAAAGCATTGAAATACAAGTCCAGTAAAAATTCTATTCATATGATCACGTAATTGGTTTGAAGAAAACTTTTAACTTCTGGTCGGGGAAAATTAAATGAGGTTCTCGTTTTTATTCGATACAAAAACGAAAGCAAAAAAAAAGAAAAAGTTATATCCATCTATAAATCTGTCTACGCCCACAAATGACGATTTTTTAAAACATTGTGTAAGTTATAATAATTATAGCAATGCTTCGGTTAGCAAGCTACGTAAGCATTATAACAACGCATAGAGTTACAAATTTAATTGGCTATTTTTAATCGTGACAGAAAAACTGAAGAGTGAAAATATTTGCCAGCAATCATTTTAAATTTATGATATGGTTGTTCATTTTCAACAAGACAGACAGGATTAATGCTGTATATTGCAACTGGACGCTTCTAGGTATCGTCGATGTGTAAGCGCCATGTGATGAATTTATTCTCATACAAAGTATAAAGTGAAGCTAACGAGACAAAGTGGAAAAGTAATAAACGGCGTTTTTCGTCGAGTGCGTCTGTTCCCTTTCGCTTCTACAGGTTAGAATGAAAGAAAGACAAAACTGTATGTAAGGAAAAGCGCGTTGGGATCTTTGACGATAGATGGGGACTATAAATCAAATTACCTTATCGCATCTATGAACAGATACTAGAAATTGTATGTCTGCCTGATTGTTTTATTCGTTATATATATATATATATATATATATATATATATATATATATATATATATATATATATATATATATATATGTGTAAACATGTTTTGCTGAATAATATGGACGTATTATGTCTGCTTATTTTTATATTGATCCTTTCGAGATGTCTAATTATTTTCTTGATGTTGACAGAAAATCCATTAAGAAAGGCGTCGTAGTTTTTATTATAAAAACGTGTTTAAATAAAAAAAATATATATATATATATATATATATATATATATATATATATATATATATATATATATAACCATAGACACCTTTTTGATGTATTTCCCATAACATCAAGAAACTAATTAGAGAACTCGAAAGGATCAATATAAAAATAAGTATACATAATACGTCTACATTATTAACAAAACATGTTATATATATATATATATATATATATATATATATATATATTAGAGCTGTTTGGTGTCTGATTGATTTTAAATCAATACACCGAAAATAGTGACCGTTTTTATGTATATAGTTGTACATACGTGTGCATACAGACACACCCACAGTGTACAGTACACAGTTATTTCGATGACTCTCCATAAGGCACTCTTGTATTATTTATTTAGGTAGAATAACATTACTAAATTTTACTTTTTTTGTTTATTAAAACTAATGTTTTTTCTCTTTGAATATTATCAATGTTATTATAGACACAATGTTTCGGCCAATTACCTTGTGGTCATCTTGAGGTAGCTATTAATTTTGCTGTTATAGGATATCTTGTAAGTTATTTTGTCTTCCCGTGATGCAAGAATGCGCAAAAGAACGAGAATGCAGGGGCAAAAAATAATACGCAAAACAAAAAGTATAGCGTATTAGGAAAAAAATAAAAGTTATGCCATATTAATCAGAATAATGGACGCCTGAAATTTTCAGAGAATACTTAACGGAAACGTCGTGTCTATAACGGCATTTACAACAATCAAAAACGTGGGCACTAATTCCTAATAAATCAAATAATCGAAGGTATGTTGACAATTCCATGTCTCAAAAATCAAACAAAAATTATTACTAAATTTATTATGAAAAACGGGATACTTCTATAAACTGTTTATAATAGGTATTCAAATAACCTGGGTCAAGAAACCGATAGTAATTATGTAATCAACCGCTTTAATACAGGAAACGCAAGGCATTCATTGAGTGAACACTTTGTGTTACTGTCGGTTAAAATTTATAAAACCTTAATTTAAAACAGTTTTTAGGAAATTCGATTTCTCAAGTCCATTAACTATTATAGTTCTTTCTAGTAGTTATGGAAGTATCCTTCCAAACATTTTATTTAAGGTAATGTTGAAAGTTAAGATCATGATTATATCATTACTTTCTCTTTAAATGGCGTACTACCTATTTCTACTGTTGTTACTATTAGAACTTTTCGAGTGGTGTGCTTTTGTTATTTGTTATAGCTTCTTGCTTGTGATTGTGTAGCGCCAGTCTATAGGACCCGATGAAGGATTGTCTTCTTTAAGATTTACAGGATTTGTTTGTTTGGGGCTATTTTTTAAATGAAAAACGATAGCTCTGAACGTACTGGGCATTTCTGAACGAGATAGACGCCATTGACATTCATATTGAAGTCTAGATCGAGGCTATTTAAACTCATAACTCGAGTGTTGGACAATAGTACTTCGAACGAAACCAATTCTGTGTTCAGTTTCATTATCTACTATACTAAACTTGTTATAACTGATTCATACAACGAATAGTTTAAAATGTTTAGTATTTAGCAATTCCACATTTTGACGTTTTGTGATAAATTCAGGACTGGTTTTGTCACTACTTTCATTCTAATTCCAGAACATAGCTTCTGTTTGGGAAAGTTACGTATGAAGTCCTATTTTTTGAAATACTGGAACACGTATTAGTTATTTAGGGAGCTTCTTTTTACTTAGTTTGGTTACGTATGACACAAAGCTAACTGGATGAATAAATGATACACGGTAAGAAGAGAGTGCTGCCTCGGTCCTTCAAGTGGGGAGGGCCTGTCATGAAAATTAGCATTGAAGAACCTAACTCATAACTGGGATCAGTATATGCTCCCGGTGAGAAATACTCAGCCCACGGAGCTAGAAAGTACACAATTAAATATGGCGCAGGCCTGCAATAATAAGAGTTCAACCCTTCTCTATTTTAATTGGTTTACAGGTCTAATTTTGACATAACAACCTCTCACCACCGACTAAGGTCTATTAATATTTCTTTTTCATTTTCAAAAGGAAGAGTTTTAATGGCAGACTCCCAAGGGGATGTTTCCTCGAACACTACAATCTTAACATGTTCTAGTCTAGAGCTAACTCTTATCTTCTCCTCCTACCAATTAACAACGTCGAGTATCCCCTTGGCCTTGTACACGATGCACTTTACTGTAAAAAAAGAAAAAAAGAAAAAGAAATTTGAAAGAAATCTGTCCGCGGCTACGCAAATAATTTATTTGGATTAAAAATATATTTTAATTTTCTTTTTTGCCATTAAGGCTAATTAGAATTATGTCTTGTTCATCTGATTTGGGAGTGGTTTTAAAATATAACAGTAATTCTTTCGCCTTTGGATAGTGCTTTAATTAATGTAATTAAATGAAAACAAATCTCACATGTAGATAAATGAGAAACTTCTAATAATGACGTAGTTAAGTGATATTAGAATTGCAGTGATGTCATTTGTCTGCTTCCATAAAAAACAGTAAAACAAAAAGGTAATGAGAGTGTAGGCATCTTTGTTAGAATCCAAAGATATGTTATTTGAAGTTTGATTTGTAACCAGGTATCTATCAATAGGTGCTGTTGATAATGCATAAACCTTTTTGAAGTTATAGATTGTTAGTAGATTATAATTTGCTGACAGGAAGCTACGACATTCCTTCTTAGAAATATTTAGGAAAATAATCATGTTAAATTATGTGTTTTATTAAACTCCGAGAAGTTTTTAATTAAAGTAAATTCTGGATACAAATAATCAAAAACATGGCGTATAGAGAAAGGAAATCAGGCAGGCTCTCGAAAATTATCTACGACACTAATGTAACAAGACTACAAATAATAATATTAAATAAATTTTATAAAAAATTACACCCCCAAACACAGAGAAAAAGGATAAATATATAGTTTTAAGGTATGCTATAATTAAGGGTAAAAGTGCTCAAAATCAGAGCGAGTGGAAATATAAGAGTGGACATTGAGGTCAACACCACGTGGCGACAGTCCGGTTCATGTTCGAATGAAACAAACTTCAGATGGTCGGAAGATTGCGTTGAAGCATGAAACAAATTATCTCCACTCAGTTCTGACCTCAGTGTTCACATATATATATATATATATATATATATATATATATATATATATATATATATATATATATATATATAAATATTATAGAAATAAGTATAAGAAACTATACTCGCTCGGAAAACCTTCGATGTATTGATTTGCAAATAAACAAGCCAATACCAAAGGGAAAAAAAGAAGCTATATATGTAATAAAAGAAAGAACCAAGAACATGTACATTAACCGAAAATAATCATCCAGCATACGAGTTCAAGGCCCAAAGAAAAAACCCCGATGCGAGTACCCAAAACTAAATAAAGTGCTCAATACAATGAGTAGAGCAGACCTAGTTAAGCCTAGAAGCCAGACAAACCTACCAAGGTTTCACCTAAGCGGATCGTCAGGGAAGGAAGCCTTCCCTGAATATCCACTTAGGTGAAACCTTGGTAGGTTTGTCTGGCTCTCTAGGTTTGTGTAACTTCTCTAGGATTAACCAATTAACTATCTATCTAACTAACTATATATATATATATATATATATATATATATATATATATATATATATATATGGTATGATAAAAAATGTATATAAAACAGAGCTATTAAGCATATATAGTGAATATACATAATATCCCACGTTGATAGAGTTTCATGCGGATACGCAATCTTCAGGTGCAGAATACTCACTGACTGTTAATGCTTATGAAATTTGCGTTTTTTGTGGTGTTTATTTAAAATTGTATGTAAGACAGGGTATCGCACGTGCTAGCACACGTTGTATGTTAAATGTATATATATATATATATATATATATATATATATGGAATGCGGGAATGTGGCAAAAGATGATTGTGCATGCAACAACAGACTGTTGTTTCGAATCAAATCATCTGTTTATAGGAGGTAAACTGACAACGACAAGGAGATACCGTCCTTAACAATGAGACAATGCAATTTTTAGTAAGTGTTGCGACTGTTAATTGTATCAAGTTCACTTGGAATACAACTGAAAAATATCATTACTGATTACTGAACGTAACAGTCATTTACCTTCGAGAACGCATAAACGATTCTGAACACTATGGAGATATGGATGTATATATAATTTCTGTGTATCATTTCATATGATAAATTTTCATTTATTAGAAAAATA